GGCCTACATATTTATATATTTAATTTATAATATATGTATATTACTATATATAAATATGTATATGTATATATATAATATATATATATAAATATATATAAATATATATATATTTATATATACAATATAGGCCCATGAACATTACTGTTATAGGCAAACCAAAGTTCAAAGGGCAGGGGTAAACCTCAAACATTCTAAAGATGTAATGGGTTTCTCAAGCTGCACATAATCTACATGTGTCCCCATGGATTTGAATCCTTGTCTGAGAAGACCTTTCTACGACAAAAAGGGTTTTTATTTTGTTTTGACATTAAGAGTATGCAGTTGCGTAGCTTTAAAACCGGGCACACACTGCGCTAGCCTGATAGAAATCTGATCAATTCTGTAAATATTCACAAAATCATCAGATAGAATCATAAAACTCTCCTGCTGGGCACTATATTCTATATCTAGAAGTAGATGAACATGCAATTTGAAGTATGATTACAAGTCACTGATTTTGTTTGCTTGTATTTAAAATACATAAGATGAGAACAAATATGTATTTTCCTCTTATGAAATTGACATCAAAGATCATGTAGTAGTTAATGAAAAGATGATATATTCATACCGAAATATTATGATAATCAACATCATCGTTCCAATAAAGTAATGATATATTACACTATTACCATCATTATTTATCTCTTAAACTTTCTCACAGTTTAAATTTTGATTTCAGCCTCAAGTCACAGAATTCCCACATGACGAATGCCAGGTCTACCTGCTCAAATAAACTCCTAGAAAGAACACAGTGTTAAAGCCATTAGGTTTCCAAAATCTGGTCATACATATACCGTAGGCCTACAAATACGGTACTAGAATATCAAAAATGACAACATAGGTAACATTTACATATTACTCATCATAGCACAAGAGAACATTCTTGTATTTGAACTTATCAATGGCGAATTTCTAAAACCTTTTTTCAATATTATTCCAGATAATGGGGCCATGTCTTATAACTGTATTAAACTTGCAAGATATGTAGTGAATGTATGGTCTATACATATTAGAGGACCTGGATCATGAATGAATAGAGTAAAATTTTTAATAAGTAATTAGAGAAGCTACTTGGAAGGAGATTTATACATAAATAAAGCAACCTGTAGCTTATAAATGTCGAACACAGTAAAGGTTTTTAATTGCCTAGCAAAGGTGATAAATGAGCAAGATAATGAGAATCTGTACAAAGACAAATAATATTTATTTGCTTTATATGTATTGATATTAAATTAATTGTTATCAGCCCAGGTTATGTTACAGGTAAAACAAGATTTGAATAAAACATCAACATTTTCAAGAAGCAAGGCATATTTGAGTCTAAAAGAATACCAATATACTTTAATTAAATAAATTTGTGATATAGGAAGTATGTTGTTTCGAACCTAAAGTTTCGTCCACAGTTATCCCAAGAAATTTAATGTGCGAAACTTTATCAATTGGGATGTTGTCAATCCGGACGCTATCAAAATTTAGATAATATGATCGATTACTGTATCTAATTCTGAAGAGAATATATATAGTTTCGTTTAATTTCGTTTTGTTTGATTTGCCTATATATGGTCATAATGTTATGTCATCATAAACATATTTAGGCATGTTACATATAATAAGAAAATATTTAAAAAAAGACCTAAATTCGATATAAATATTAACAAAACTTTCTCATTTCATTTTCCTATCTCCTCTTAATTTCCTATACCTTTTAGTGTATTCCGGTCTCTTATCATGTTCCTGCATTCCAAATTTATCACAACTCGGCCATCAATGCGTTTTCTTTCATTTTCCTCTCCCACACTTTGCTATTCTTCTGCCAATTGTTTCCCATACTCATCTGCATTTCCCAGTCTCTTTAAAATGAGAATCATTGAAATGAAAATTAAATCATATGTACAATCATAAATTAAAGTAGAAAAAATTATACGAAAAGTTTAGAAAATTTCCCCACATTTTGCTCTTTTCCTGTCCATTTTTTGCATCCTATACCTTCTCCACCCCTACTCACTATTTTTTTTCTCACTCCAACCATTTTTCTGTTGGCATCTATGAGAAATGTATAAATAGAAAGAATATAACCTGGGTATGTCATATTATACAGGCTGTGTGTGTGTGTTATAGCCTGCTGTCAGTGCTTGCTATACGTTAAAGACTCAGGCAAGGACAAATCGTTATTAGGCCTATTTATTATTTGGAATTCTTATCACTGTAAGCTTTTATCAGCTTCATGTACTAAAGTGTGTTAGCTATAATCATGTCAACATTGCTTTATGTATTATATTTAGGTAATAAGTAATGAGAGAAAAAAACAAGTGATTTATGTGTGATTAATTGAGGACTACCCACAAAAATAACAAAAACTTAATAAAGATCGTTATTGCGGGGATTTTGATATTTATAACCATTATAATGTACAAACAGTATCATACTGCAATTAATACATTGTTTATCTATGTGCTGATTCTACAGATGGTTCAGGTTAGTTTACAATTACTGTATGAATACTCATACAGTAATGTTATGGTTATTCATACAGTAATTGTAAACTGTATGAATATTTTGAGTTTTTCAAAAAATTACCAAAACAGTCAGGGTTAATAAATCCATTTCTGGTTTTTTTTTTTGCCAAATATCTAACAATTTTTCCAAGAGTCATATACAAAAAGTTGGAGCAACTTTTCCCATGGGAAAAGGAGCTACGACCATTTATATACAGGTCAATCTATTTTTAGTAACGATCAGTAGGT